AGGAAGAACAAACTTAAACTTGTCAAGACAATGTCCGCAATGCGCTCTCGCGTCTCCTGGTCATAGAAGATGACATGTTCAAATGGTTCTTCCAACAAGAAAAAAAGAAAGTGGAAATTCCGATCAATGTGTATGTGCGACACTACAAACAAAAAGTCAATAATGAATTTGACTCACTTGACTAGGCGTTGACGTTCGGCTGAAAACTGGTGGAGGAGCAGGAAACTCTTCATCTGAATCTTCATCGTCAGGTGTCCCTGTAACAGCTATCACCTATGACTGACTTTAAAAGAGCGCTGATCTAATTGAGAAGAAAATGATGTTGTTCTTACCAATTGATTGCGTTCCATTTGATGATGATGAGTGACTTACTCGGCGCAGAACGTCGAGTGGAGCACGTTTGATGGTACCAGTGGGTTGTTCATCATACTATAATAGAATTTTAAGAACACAGTAAAGCAAATGCTCACAGAACATCGATGGACTCACTTCGTGAAAGATGATAGCTGTAGAATTAGCTGCGCTTATGCATCGATCATTTGACAAAGCACTCAAACGGCTATTTTGAGATGGAGAGTGCAAGGCGGAGGGCTGAAAATGTTCGAGAATCATGACACCGAGATAAAAAAGGAAATCCGTGATTGAATTTAAAGACGCTCTCACCTTGCCGCCGTGGTCCGAGTAATTGGATCCAAGATCATGTCGGCTGGAAGAGCACGACGAGGAAAGACCATGCTCACGGAGGTTCACGTTAATCGGTTGTTGCGATACGGAGGAAGCAACACGAGGAGGAGGCACGCATACTGGTTGCGTAGAGAGTGCTTCTCGTCGACGTTCACATGCTCGCACATAATTCGTCATCAGATCAGCGCCGTTCTAGAAGGAGGGTATAAGGAAGATTCTGCATACTTTGAAGGCATTGTCCACATCAAGGGAGGGTGTTAGGGCCTTGACGTAATGTGAGAGCACTGGCCCTAAATTACGCAACACTCCAGTCCGATCGAAAAAGGTGGGCTCCGAAGCGAGAAAATCGCTACGAAAAAGGGGAGGTACCACTAATCCAGCCTCTTTGACAAGATTTGACGTGGCCATTACAGTAGATTCAGCGCATTCACCACGTCAAATCCTGTTAAAGAGGCAGGATTACTAGTACCGCCCTTTTTCTCCGAAGCTATTTTCTCGCTTCAGAGTCCACCTTTGTCAATCGGACTTGAACTGTTGCGTTAGTCAGGAGCAGTGCTCT